CAAAACACTGAACACAAAAACTTAATAATAGCTAATTCTACTCACCTGATTTTTGTGTAAAATACTTTCTAAAATGCTTGCTTATTTGAACTTGTTAGGACACCTTTAAAATATTTGTGTTCAGATTACACTGAACTGACCTCCTAGCTCTTAAGTTTCTGTACATTTGAGGCCCAAAGACATGTTTTTAATCACTTAGTTCAGCCTTATAATACAATAGGATGATTGTGTATTATGACTATATAATAAATAATACATGTGCATTTTGAGCTTTACCTTGTTGCTTTCCTCAAACTTAAGGACTGTGGCTGAACTGAAAACGTTGTTGCCTATTCTCTGCACCAGGACACCCCTTCCTAGACAGTGAAGGAGGAAGAAGGTGAACATTTTTATTTTTCTCTGAAATTTCAGCTGAAAATTCCAGCTGGAAAAGTGGATGTCATGGTATAAACCGACTAAGCCAATTATGTGGTATCACCTAGCTCAGAAATACAGCAGCGCTGCAATTTAACAACTGCCTACATATTATTGTTGCTGCCTTCTTGATCCGAGTTTGGAGGCTTGAGTGTCCTTAGAAACCGTTTGGGCTTTTGATCATTCTGAGTTCAGTAGCCAGTGAATATATAAAAAAATATGCCAGTGTTCACAGATAAATAGTTTTTGAAATTTTACGTTTAATATCATGGCATGTTGTGAGGCACTGGTACTATCCTGAGAAACCATTAGTGTTCCTTCAGAGAGCATGTGTCTCTTTTAGCTGTAGAACTATTTTAGTTGTTTCATTTTTAAAAGTCGCTTGTGTTCTTGTATTTACTTTTGTTGGTTCACTCAGAACAGTGCAAGGTTTCCCTCTAGTGGTTGGAGCCCTTACAAATGTTCTGAAACCGTCACTCTATCTGTAGCACCTGGGGGATTTTTTGTCATTTTACGTTGCAAAGGATGCAGGGGAATGTCAGAACCTAACTAGATGTTATTACTTTGTAGATGTCATCAAGGATCAAAGCTTCTTTGCAGCCCGAATGTACAGAGACATAGATCCTAGATCTGAGACAATGATTAAAATCATACCTGGGCAGGTGATAACACAATAAGTGTGCTTATCTAAAGTGATCCTAAAATCTTAAAAGTTTAGAACCTAACAATGGAAGGTTGCCTAACGTCAAGTAAACTAATAAATACATAAGGGGAGTTAACATCTCTCACAGCCTCACGGCCACAGCCAGGTGTCCCTTGCTCGTTCCTCGACTCTGGAGAAGTAAATCTCTCGAGCAGGTGTCCACACTGGAGAGGAGAAGGTCCAGCACACCTCCTGGAGAGTGTGCAGGAGTCTCTCCAATCAAGGATGGGACCAGGCTTTTATAGAGTTAAGTGGATTGACTGCTGTCCTTCGACTAGTTGGCCATACCTCCAGAATCTCTCATTGGAAAATAAAAGGAGAACAGCAGAAAAACCCAAGAAGGCCCTTTTCTCATCAAGCCCTTTTGTTTATCTCTTTGTTATTGTTTTGTGTCTACTTTGGGCCTAGTTGTGCTTAGGCTGTGTTCTGTGTTCTTCAACACTGGAGAGCAGCAAGTGTTACAAACATCAACTTGGCCCTCTGTACTTTGAAGGTTGTTACCAGCTCAGAGCTTGCTAGGCCTTTCCTTTCCCATGGGAATCTTTCCACACCAGGCCTGGGACTGCAAAATTGAGAGACAGAAAGCAATTGAATTACAGAGGGAAACGGAGGCTGGCACACTGAGAGATGGAGCGTCCTGCTAGAGTGGCTTTTGCTCTACTTGTAATAGTATGATTTTAAAAAGCAAAAGGAAATTTTCAGATAATTTCCCATTGCTGTGAGAGTAGGGAGACATTTGGGGAACTGGCCCAGGGTTTAGAAGGAAGAGGGCTTCCCTGAGGAGCCCCCGTCACTGGCAGCTCTCATACAGCTGCAAGTCTGGTTCTAGGGCTTCAGCTGAGGTCTGCAGGCCCAAACGTGTATGGTTAACTTGCTAATGCTATTTTTGGACACCTTATTAAAACTGTTGGGGCTTTCAGTCAGGTTTCTGCTTGTTTTCAGGAGATTTGTGAGGATTTAGCAGTTTTAAAGATCAGTTCAAGTATGTATGCACATACTGACTTTATACGTGCAGTGAACAGATCAAGTGCTTTCAAATTATATTGGAAGGCTCTGTGACATTGTGAAGTTTTTTGCATATTTATTTTGTCCTATATTTATTAGAAGACTACCTGGGATAAAACACGTAGTCTTTGTAATGGTTTCTAAGTTTTAAAATCTGTTAGATAATCCCTTTACAACGCTTTACAAGACAATTGTCAGCCTGTACGGTGCTTCCTTGTTTGCTCCTGCAGGCTGCCAAGGTGCTCTATGCAAAGGTATTTCAACCTCACAGGGAATATTTTTGACTGCTTTGGCCATATATAATGAAGAATTACTTTGTTGCCTGGAGAGAGGGAGGCTTTGTGTGGTTTTCACAGAGTGGTGCAGTCCAGGAAGAACTGAAGCAACCAGGGCTCTTGGTAAGAACTTCTGTTTACTCACCAACTCCCTGGAAATCATCAACAATGAGAATGCAAACATTGAAAAGGTTCATGGTATAACAAGTTTTAGTGTTTGAATTATTATCCAAACTTAAGTCAGCTACCAGCCTAGGCAGTGTTTATTTCATTTTTAAAATAAATAAATAAATAAATCTTACCTATGAAACCTCAGACATTAAGAATTTATCTCCCCCTTTCTGAGTTCACAACATATTTGGCTGATGAAGATCAACTATGATGGACAGTTATTGGATTTTCTTTTTAGTTTTAATGGGACAAAAGCTGACACTGTCAAATTAGTCACTCAGAGATCTCCTTAACAGTGTTAAGGTTTGAACATCTTTTCTTTGCTGACAATTTCAGGGATGTTTCCTCACTAAATCCAGTTGTTCGTAATTATTCACCTTCTGTGCAGTGGATGTGGTGCCTAAAGCAAAGTATATGTTTGGAGACACTCTTGGCACTTGTCACCTGTTTCCAGATACCACCATTCTTATTCTACAGGTTATATTTCCTTCAGTTATGTTTTGGAAGAAGCATGACAGGTACAAAGAGTCTCCATGCACCTGGTGCAAAATGTGATGTCAGTGCGACAGTTAACCAACAGCCTTTTTATTGCCCCTTACTATGGAGAGTAACTTTCACACTGGCAGCTTCTAACTGCTTAGAATTTGAAATTTTGATGCTATGAATAGCGAAGTGATTTTTGTGGATATATGTTGTGTCCTGGGCCTTAAAAAAAAAAAAAAATCTAACAAAAAAAAGTGCAACCAACTTGCATATAGTGTTATATTCAGAAAAATCACTGTCAGGGTGGAGCTTTTAGCTCTACTTGAGTTTCATCTGAGAGGGAAACTGTAGGAGAAGCAAATTATCATATCCTGCTCAATACCAGGATATAACCAATACTGCTCTTGACAGCACAGAAACAGGGAGACTCAGGAATTTGGAGAGAAAATTTTTATGTTTTGGAGAGAATTGCAATACAGGGTCCTGGGCTCTACTCTTTTCTTTAAATGTGATTTCTTAGCCCATCCTTTCTTATCTGTCTCTGTGCAGTCCCCTGACTTCACTACACTTGCTTCCTTTTTTTTTTTTTTTTTTTTTTTTCTTTTTTCTTTTTTTTTCCCCCACTCCTATTGAGTATCCATGCTGCAGATTGCTTATTTTAGTGCACAGGCACCTGCCCAGGCAGCCGGATCTTCTGTTGTTTTAGATTTGTAGATTTCTGAAATGTTTCCAGTGGAATTGCAGATTACACTAAAGGTACTTTAAGCCTGCAAACAACATAATGTTTCCTAGCTACCCATGATGATTCTGTCAAAGCAGGTATCAAACCTGTTAGGTTGTGTATCCTGTGCAAACCAGTTACAACAAACAAGGAAGAAGTCATTAAATTATTTTCTTGCAAGTGGATGAAGTTCTTGGATACTCCACATTTCTCAAAGAGTGCAGGTAAATGATCTTTGAAACCTCCCATAGCAGACAAGATGGGGAAGCTCGTTAGCTTCAGCTGCTGAAATATATCCCAGTGCTCCCCAAGTTTTTAAGGTAAGTAGCAGATGCCCGGCCCCTGCCTCGGAAGGACTGAAGCCCAGTCCCAACAGAGGGGAAACAGAATGTTTGTATTGTGCAGCTGTCTCTTTCTTTTTGAAATAAACATTCTTCTGAGGCACTTAAACATCAGACAGTTTTCAAGCAATGTTTTTTGTTTGGTTGTTTTTTTCAGGTGTAATTTGTTTTCTCATGTTTCCTCCTGTTAATTCCATTCCCTGCTTTCTGCAGTTATCTTTGCATATTAAGCACTTTCTCTGAATTTGAAGGCTGAGAGATAAGGTCAGAACACTTTGGCAAATGCTTCTAGGGGTGATTAGGTTCTATTTTTTATTGTACTAGAGTTTTATATCTCTTCCTATTTGACTTTAGGATTTAATAGTGAGAGAGCAGGCAGCACATCTAAACCATTTTAGCTGACAGAAATACTGTGGGTTTGTATGGGGTTTGCATCACTTTTATCCTAAGAGTTTTTTTATATATGTGTGTATGTGTCTATTTATATATAATTTATCTATAATCTATGTATATATGTAAATATGTGCACATTTTACAGTTTCTGAAATCAGCAGATTCTTCACATTCATCCTGGGCTAAAAAACATATCTTCTTGGATAGAAAAAAAACAACCAACAAAGCCAAAACAAACCACCACAAGAATACCCCCAAATCCAAGAACACAAGCCAAAGGATTTACTATATGTTAGTATTATGACACCTTTGTTCATGGTGGTTTATATTGCACATCCCTAACATGGATCTTGGAAAGCAGGGCATGGAAGTAGATGTTTTAAGGAGGACATATGCCACACCAAACTGTCAGAGATCTGGGAAGTATGGTGCCATCTTCCAAAATAATAATAAAGAAGGTCGTGCCTTCTTTATTCCCAGGTTGGATTGACAACATGAATGAGTCCTCCCGTGGGCAGTGTTCACTTTTACACAGCTCAGAAGCCAGTGGTACAGTGGGCAACAGTGATGACTCAATAGATAACTTGGGCCATGACCAACTTTTATGGAATGAAAGGCAATTATGTTATTTGGCCAGCTCTGATTTTTTTCCTCAAAAGTTGGCTTCCAGTGTAATCCAGAGTGGAATTAATGATGCAAGCAACACCCTGGAAATGTTTACTTCTCCTCTGCTCCCTGCTTCAGAGCCTGGGATAAACCACTGTGCTCCCATCTACAAAGACATGGAACAGGTTGGTTTGCTTTAAATAATCACAGAACTTATAAATGCATATTGTATATTTCTGGTTGCACAGCCTCTCCAGGAAGAAAGGGATGGTAACTTCTGCATCTGTCTAGAGGTAGGAAGCTTTACTGGCAAGCACTGGAAAGCGTATCATAATCCTGTGTTTGATTACATTGCTCTAGTACACACATGAAATGAAGTCCTTTTCCCAAGACATAATAAATTTGTCTCTCCTTCCTCTTGTTGGAGAGTTACTACTATCACCTTCCCTCTGATGAAAAATATTGAATGTCCTGGCTCTGTACTCACATGTGTGTAATGGTTGTAAGAAATGTTCTTATTTCTGTACATCTTTCTATCAGTCCCCTTCTCATCCTCCATCTTTTTTAGCTTTTTATTCCATTTCTGACTTTTCTTTTTAATTTTTGATGAAGAGATGGACAGGTGTAAATCCACAGGATCTTTTCCACCAAGTGTTCCATGTGCTTCTTATTAGATAGGAAATAGAGAGCGTCAGTTGCACACTTTAAAGAAACTCATGTTTCCAACGCAGTGGAATTTATTATTTAGGATATGCCTGCGTTGCTAGTTCTTAATCCTTTCTCTACTGGAAGTCTATAATAATTTTATTAGGTTTTATACCATATAAAAATCAGAAATACCTGTGCTAACAAGGCTTTATCATTTGCCTCTCACCTGAAGCCCAGCTCACCTGCAGGTTTCTTTTCTTATTACTGTTGATACCAGAAACATTGAAAAATGTAGTTTGATACTGTAGCTTCATGATATTTTCAGACTACAGGGCAGCAGGACCAGGTGATGAGGCAGCATATGGAGCAGCTGCAAAGGCTGGTGGTTGAACAGCAGAAAATCATTGCACTTTACAACCCAGGTACGTGGAGAATTCCTCCTGACACTGTAGCACCCTTGCCTGCTGATGCTTGCTCTCCAGTAGTGAAATGCAGGAGTACCTTAAACAAAGAGAAGGTCTGATGGTTGTTTTCTGCGGCTGGGAGCTGTTCCTCTGACAGTTGACCTAAAATGTTCATTTATTTACACAGCTTATCCACAAACTGTAAACCCCAGAAAATGTTTCCTCCATTTTTGTACACTAGAATTCCAGGATAACTATGAGGAGTCCTTTATGTTTAATAACAGAGCTCATGTACAGACTTCTATTGAAGTATGGATTTGAATGGTACTGCAGGAAACTATAGTATAGTGATGAGCATTACAGAAGAGAAGAAATATCTCTGTTTTTCTCTCTACCTCTATACAAAAGTTACAGCTTCTACATAGAAACAGGAGAGGACCTGTCACACTTGTGTTAACACACCTTGATTGTATTAACAGCCTCATGCCTTTAACAGCACAGCCTCTTCCTCACAGAATGATACAACTCCTTGAACATCTTCATTTCACTAGTGGTATTGCCAGAAAGTGTCATCTGTTCAGCAAGCAGAAAAAAAAGAGCCCTCCCCTTTCCACCCTTCCCACAGTAGCAGCACATTCTCCTCAGTGTGTGACCCTGTAGCAAAATAAGAATTTGGGGAAATCCTGACAGACTTATGACAGCACTGGCCAGGCTTTATCAGGGCTGCTTGTGCGTTACATCAGACAGGGAGTACCCAGAAAGGCATAGGAAGGACAGGGGATCCTTGGATTGCTGCCGCTCCTGAGATAACCTGCTGGGGAGGCAGTTCCACCTAAACCATGTAGTAGGAGGCTGAGCAGCCTAAGACATCCCCTGCCTGCATCTGTGCATCAATCTGGTATCAGTTTTCTCAGTCTAATTTCAAGCTTCTATACCCATTTGAGGAGCTTCATGGTCTCTTTCTGCTCCAGTGCTTTAAGACACCTGATGCATTTCTGAAGACAGGAAGCACAGTTTGTTTCATGAACTCAAGACCAAGCTCATACAGTAATAAATATATTTATGGGATGTTGTTTGTGTGTATTTACATATCTAGATACATTTAGCCAACATAGAAAGCCACAGACAAAATAGTTACTTGAATGAAAAGCTGACTGGAATCTGCACTGAAAGTGATCATTTGTTAGTGGAGGCAGCGTAGGTTCAGGGTAAAAAAAAGACAGTACATAATCTGGACCCATTCAGCTTTAAAGAGGTAAAATACAAAGAACTACTAAGGCTGTGATTTATCTTATTATGATAAAAGTAGTTGCTTTAATATTGCCATGTGTTTAAAGAAATAATACAGTGACCCACAGTAAAACAAACCCCATTGAACTCCAGATTGTCATTTTAATATTTCATGGTAATACAGACAGAAGTGGCTCTGCCCAGGTGTTAGCTGTGTGGTTAGATCATCTGTCCAGAAGCAGCAAATTTAGCTTTTTTTTTGAGTTTATGCCAGATAGAATTTGAACCCACATATCAACTTTCTTCCGTGAAACACGTGGAAATGAAGCAATTTCAGTCATAGGCACCCTCTATGCCTCTTGTTGAAGTCAGGTCATAGGACAGAAAGGAATCATAGTGTGAAGAAAACAAATAAGATGTGAACCTAATTTTGTAAGTTTATAAGGGGATTTCTTTCCTGAATGTAGTGAGCCTGGCCTATGCAGAACTCCTTACATGTTTTCCACTTGGAAGTCTTCTAATAAAATGTGTAACCAGCATCCCTTCCCTCTTTTGCATTGAGGAGGGCCCAAGAGATACTTTGCAATACTTAACTTTCACCTGCTAAGGGTCTGATGGCTGCAGCAAGTATGTTTTAAAATGTAAACAAAATAACAAAAGCAGAATTTTATTATTTCACTCCAAACATGCAAACCAGGCAACATGAAAGTAACACTGGTTTTGTGCAGTACCAGTTTAGCAAGAGATTTCTACTTTAATGCAAAATATTTGTTTTAAGCTTCTCTCATTTTTCTTCTCTGGTAATTGTTTTTAGGCTTCTCTGTTTCTCCTGGGATACCATCCCACCTAGTAGCTACGAGGCCACCCGTTCCATGCTTTCCAGCTAGTTTCATACCTGTCCAGTTCCCATCAGAAAATTCTTCCCAAGTTGAGAGCTTGGACTGCTTACAGACCTCTCCCTTGGCAATGCACTTTGCTTGGCAAACCAGGTGCCCGATCTCCGTGCCAAATGAGAGCAGTTCAGAAATCTCAGGACAGCATGTGCAGCTTTCAGATTCAGGTGAGTAAAAGGTGCTGGAAATCTGAAGTTAAGGCTATTGTGCAAGTTCTGTGAATGTTTGGCCCTGTTAGTGATTGCTAGTGATTGGTTTTATTGCAGGCCAGGGAAAGGCGCTTTGTTTTTTTGTTTTGTTGCTGGGTTTTTTTGTTTGGTTTGCTTTGCTTTGCTTTTGTGGTGGCTTGTTATAAAAGTTTTTAAAGTATCTTACACTAATTTTTTTTACTTTTTGAATCACAATCATCCTTACAGTGAAACTGGGCCTTGTGGATATAAATGGAGCAGAAAGTAATTAAATTGGAAAAGTTAGGTTATATGAAGCAGGGTCTATATTACATTTAGGAGAAGAAACATAAAGTTTAGGAAGTGAACCTGGTTTCCAAAGGTAAGAAAATGTGTTTCTGTAGATATTCCGCTCTTCGTTAGTGATATCGTTGTTTCTCACATTGATATGGAGTCACATTGTTTGGAGGAAAAACAATGTAAGCTGCCACTTGGCATCTGCTCTTTGCTATGCTTTGCCAGCTTTTTTTTCTGTGGGACGATACCAAGGGGTTATAAAGAAGAAAGAGCAATTTGCAAGGAATCAAATGTTGATTTAAAAATGGGAGGAACAGGAACAAAATGAAGTCAGAAATAAACCAACTTAAAGGGGAAGAAGATGTAAATCAGACCTGCATTCTGAATTCCTTTGAACTTTTATAGTAAGACTTGACTTGTGATGCTGTGAGATAGTCCCATAGTAGGATTGAAGCTTTAATTTCATATACTTCAACCTAGGTCAGGACCAGTAGTCTCACTGAAAGAGTTTTCTCTGCTTCTTGTGCCTGCTACTGTTATTTTCTCTTTGGTTTAACCTGAAGCTGGTCAGTTGCCCAGTAAAATGTTCAGAGCTTCAGAAATACCTCTGCCAGCACAAAAGCTGGGGTTGGGGAGGGGATGAGGACAGCGGGAAGCTGAAAGCAAGAACACATGAGGACAGGGGGAGATATAACTGCTTTTTTTGACAGCAGCAATGAGTTAGACCTGCTTTGTGTGTGTCAAACTAAGAGTTAAAGGTGCAAAGGCCTTAGTATATCAGGTTAATTCCTGATAGAAGTTGGTTAGTGCAGTTCCTTTGAAATATGCTTCAGTTGACTGTGTGCTTGAGGACTGGGCTGAACTAAGACCTTCCTGACTGTTGTGACCAGTGTGGACTTTCATTGCTGAAAACATAAACATACATGTGCCAATGGTTTGTATAATGCTTCACATTCTTATTTAAAGGGATAAGCACTGAGCCATTGCCTCAGAGTACGGGGAACCCCACAAAAATACTTTCCAGACAAGATGCTCAAGAAGAGAACAGAAAAGGAAACAAAGGTAAATTACACAGCTGCTTGGGCACATCGTTCTTGCCTGGCACTGGGAAGAACTAGCTGAAAATTACAGTGCTGGGACACCCCTCCTGTTAGAGCATTCTGGAGACAGCACAGCCCCACACATGAGACTCCTCACACTGTGAGGAGCAACACATGGGTTCTGCAAACCTGTGTAGCTGACAACCTGCTGTGTCCCCTCTGGTTCCTCAGGCGTATTGTGGTGCAAGGCAGCTGTGAAGGTTCCAGAAACAGCACTGTTTGTCAAACTGGAGAGTTTTGGTGTGTAGCTGGGAAAGGCTGAGAGAAGGATATAAACCTTTCGTATTCCTCTTGGACCAGGAAGTCCTTCCTGCATGTTGCAAAGAACTTCAGTAGCTCTGGGTGTATTAACGTGACAAAATGAACTACACAGTTTCTGGCTATAGCAGCAGTGTGTAGTATGAGCGAGTAAAGGCTTTTTGCTCCAGCTGACAGGCTTCACTAGGGCTAAAAGAACAAATCTCTATTAGCTGACAATTAGAAAAAAGATTATGTGAAGTGGGAACCTTCTTGTTGTAGTGAACACAGCCAGCAAGCTTCAACAGGGTGTGGTACAAATTTGCACTTCTGTGAAACTGAATAGAAAATGCCCAGTTAGAAAGCCTCACATATACAAATACTGCTTGTTAAATTGTTTGAAGAACTGACTTGCAGGTCACATAATTACAGACGCATTAGTAGTTCAGTACTGTCTAGCAAAGTGTCTCCACTGCAATGTTCACAGTGAACACATTAACCAAGCATCACAAATCTCTAGAGGCAGGGAGCACAAATCATACCATTTGCCCTTTCCTTATTTCCAGCTACTAGACCTGAGGACCAGGAGCCTTCTCCCCGCCCCCCCCCCCCCCCCCCACCCACACACCTGGAGGAATCTTGCATGTCAAGGACAAAGCTGTAATAGCGTTACAAAGAATGACCCCCACCTCTAAAGTACACTAATCTTTCTTTTCAATGGCAATACATTAAACAAGGAATTTAGTTCCTTGAAGTGATTAAATGAAAGCTGAACATATCTATGTGAATCACTACCCAACACAGGCAGGCATGCATGCTTTTTACAGAGAATGCCACCAAAGATACATCTACACGTTTTAAAGACATTTCCTCAATCCCTGCAGTAAGTGTCCAATTTTGACGGTCCATAAGCAAATCATACGTCAAAGAGTAAAACAAAATGCGTTTCAGAACACAAATTTAGCAACAGTGAAATATGATGCATCACATTCTTTTCGCTTGCCTAGAAAATAGGCTGCTTTAATTACAAAAACTAGTTCCACAATAAACGTTAATGAGGAGCAGTGCTCCCCCCCCCCCCCCCCCCCCCCCTCTTTTTTATCCTTCCAGCTACTTCATTCAATTCTATTCTATGAAATGTTTTCAAACATCAAAATATTGTATATATTATTGAAAGTATAAACATTTTAAATTTATTTAATGATGTTTGTTTTTCCTTTATTCATTCTATCAAGGCTTTGTTTTCATTAACCTTTTTCCTGCTGCTTAGATAACCGTCAATTAAAAGAAAGGAGTTTCCCTGAAACCTTTTCTGCTGTCAAAGAAGAACAAAGAGAACAAGTAAAGGAAGAGATTCCTCCATCTCCCTTTGGCATAGAGGGGGAGATGAAGACTGGTGACAGAGAAGACAGGTGAGAAATTACCTTAATCAGTCAGTCAACCTACAAAACAATGTTTTCCTTGATTGCACACACACTGTACATGTTATATTTGCAACACAAAGGCTCTTCGCTCGAGAGCGGTAGGTATGCACGGGCAGAGATTGGACAGGTCTAGAGACTGGCAGCTGATCTACTTCTATGTAATAGGATACAGATTTAGCCAATTTAAATGAACTGGTTTTGCAGCTATGAACTTCAAAGTATAGAAGGAAGGCAAAAGTTGGCAGGGATCATTTGTTATGCCATCATTTCTTTTGCAGTGTCCATCAGTTTGTGACAGCAACATCAGTCTGAGTATCTAATTTATTCTTGTCCTTGTTCTGCCTCTTCAGCTGTGCTGAGACAAATTTTTATGTGCTCATATAGTTAACAGGTCAGCAAAGTAATAATTATTCAAATTATCTAGAGAGACGAGAAATGTAACTTTTATCTTGGGTCAGTTCTGTGATCTGGTTCATCACTGCATCACAAAAGGAGTTGTCCCAGGACACTGAGGGGGTGCCCATGGCTAGACAAGAATGCTTAGGTTGGCATTACTGAAAAGATGCTCTTGGAATTGCTGCCTTTCCCTAAATGATGTAGGTAGAAGCAGCAACTCTTTGGCATACCAAGCCAAGTTTAAAAGAGAAGCACCCAACTTCTGAGAAAATATAGACTGAGACTAATTGTCATGTCTAGTTCATTATTCATGTGGGAGTTGGACAGAGAAGGAAGACAGGGACATCCACAACAGAAAGTGAGGAAGAGACCATAAACACCTCTGGGTAGGTGGGCCTTTCTACATATGCCGGGTTTGGATCAGCAGTGACCTTCTGCAGTCACCCCACTTGTTGTGCTTTGGTTCACATGGTGGTGTTAGCATGAGCTGGATGAAACTGAAGCACAGAATGGTAGAATCACAGAATCATAGAATGGGTTGGATCAAAACTTAAAGATCACCTAGTTCAAACACTCCCGCATAAGCAGGGACTCCTCCCACTAGACCAGGCTGCTCAAAGCCCCATCCAACCTGGCCTTAAACAGTTCCAGCTCTTTGTGATATTTTTGCAATGGGACCAATCTATAGTTGGTTTGAAGTAAACTCCCCTGAAATGGCTATTGTCTAACATTGAGTCCTCAGCAACAGCAGTTTTTCTCAAATCCTACTAGGCCATGCTGTATGCTAACAGACAGAGACAGAGTGACAAATGAAAAGATTATCCATGCCACAGTGGTGTTAGGTAGAGGTGGGGTATAGAAATAAGAGCGATGTGATGTGCAACCAGTACCCCTATTAAACACGGGATTTTTTAATATTCAGTAGAAATTGTTGTAAGTTAAAGCTCTAAGCATATATTCAATGAAGATATGTTAATGTGTGCTGTATTATGCTTTATTTTGAGTCAGCATACAAGTTATCCCTCCACAACATTATAGAGATTGATTTTTTTCTCTGTCACTCCTCACCAGCTCATTCAAACCACTCCATCAGAGAGATAGTGAGTTCTTTGTGACTGTAAACAGCTCTAGTCTGGAGAAAATGCCTGAAATATTTTTCCTTTTGACTATTTCCTATTTTTAAGGAGAGACTGAAACCAGCCAAAAAAATACTACTTTATAAAACCACAATTAAGTTTTAGTCTAGACAGGATGTTTTAAATTGAGAGGTGTCACATAATAGTGGACTTTTTACAAACATGTTTCATATTTTTAAAAAATTGGAGAGAGCATTTCTGTTCCAAACTCAATGTCAGCTCTGTGAGAATTATTGAAATAAAATTAGGTGGAGAATGTTAGAAATAAGTGCTTTCCTGTTCTTTGCCTAGGCCTATCACATCAGCAATTGGTATTAGACAGACACCTTCTGAAGAATTTGTTGAAGAACAACTTAAAGTAGACAATTGTCTCATAGCAAAACAGCAGAAGGAGCAGCAGGTAATGTGCCATTGGTGCATTCACTTTGTTTTTGACAAGTTTGCATTGACTTGGCCATTGTGTGGGCTCTGCTTTGGTTCATTGCATGGCAGCACATTTTTCTACTCTCCTTTCATGTGGTATGGGAAGATAATTCTAAAAGCTGAAAGATTGTATTACCCAGTCATAGTCATATTTCCCAATGTTTTGCACTGAATTCTGGGCCATAGTTTGTGGCCAAAATCCAACACACTTGGCTACATTAGACCACAAGGTTGATTCTGTTAGTTTTTTTCATAATAAAAAGGGCCTTGCACTCTGTCATGTCCCAGTAATGCAAGAATGGGAGCATTTCCAAATACAATCTTTGTACAAGGAACAAGTACAGTAACAGTGCTCCACTTCTTGCCTTATGTGCAGTTTGAGATGAGTACAAATCTGAAACCTCTAGGTGTCAGACTCAGCATTTCCTTAGGCTTTGTTGACTTGGAAGATTCACATTTCACCACTTAGGAATTTTCTCTCCCTGGCAAAATAACATCTCAAACTGATACATATATATATATATTTCTGAGTCACATTTAAACACTCAAAATTTCTTAAAAGCACAGACAGAACTTTTCTCATCTTCTGTCATAGAAACACTCAGAGCTATCTCAACCATCTGACTCTACTATTTTAATTAATAATCACACTGTGACTGCTTCTAAAAATTATTGTACCTTCCCTGTAGCCCTTAGGCTGTTACTTATGCACTCAGTCACCCATATCCAGTGTCTGTAAAATTTCTGGTGTCTCAGATTTTTTCAATATCATAAGTATCTTCCTTACCAGAGAATGATTCTCAGACTGTGATTGTCAAGATTGTTGGTGTTTTTTTCAGAGCAAGGCAAAAGTAACACTTCAGAAGGCTTTTCTCAAACGAAAAGAAGGTATGGTAAGGGTTAAAAAAAATAAAAAGAAGCCTTTAAAAGATGACAGCAAGCATTCCAGAAGGGCTGGTTTGGACTGCTGGGGTCATTTCTCCAGGCTTGGCCAAGTGGAGGTAGGCATACTGCAAACAGGCAAATGCTCTCAGTTAAATCTGCAGGTCAGTAGCTCTATGCAGAAGGGTACAAATGAAAAACAAGCAGACTGTGCTTTAGCTGAGTGGGAAGTGAAGGCTCAGACTGACTGTGAAACAAAAGTAGTTGAGCAAAACGCAGAAGAAAAGCAAGTGATCGGGGGAGATGAAGATGCAAATCAAAAACCTATTGACTCACCACAGAGAAGGTGGCCCGAAATCCTGCAACCATGTCCTGAAACAGTAACAGAAATGAACCTACGGGTAGGTGAGGAAAGAGAAGCTCATCATCTGGATTCCGTAGAGCAAGCAGACAGAACTGATGGAAGACCTGTGGAGGGTAGCCTGAAAAAGGACCTAAATAGGGTGGATCAGGCCCTGGGGGGTCATCTCACAGAGGGAGCAAAAACCGCCTTGCAAGTCCTGCAAAAGCATTCCCCACTTCAGGATTTAGAAACACAGCAGACTAAGGAGGCAGAATGGACTGCAGGCCCTGTGCTCACACAGGGCCAGAAGTGGGGTCAGGTATGCCCACAGGAACTTGTTTCAGTGAGCCAGAGATCAGAAAGCAAAAGACAAATCCATACTGGGTTTAAGATGGTCAATGATAAGATAGTGAAAATTACACATAGCTCACCTGAGGCTGTGCAGAAGGGGAGTTTACCCTTAGCCTTGCAGCATGAGAGACAAAGGAAGGGGACAGATGCCTTGACATGGCATGTTACATCTTTGTCCAGTGACTCAAGCTGCTTATCCTCAAACAGTGATGATGACCCAAAATCTCACCATGCTCAGTATCCCTCCCATCATGAACCTCAGGGAGTAAATCATACTGACAGACATTTGGATGTTTCTGATGGTGATTATGTTAGTGATGAGCCCAGTGGAACTGAAAAAATGTCTATGAAAAAGTGCAGCAGAACACCCCCAGGGAACCAAGATATTCAAGTGATCTCAAGACAGCTTGGTCTCTCCAGCAGCACAAGTAGCAGTGATTCCAGTACTGCAGCTGTCAGGCAGAAAGGGAGCAAGGCTCACTCTTCTCTTCATCAGTCCCTATTTCATCTCACAAGATCAAAAAGAGTCCATGAGCCTGAATCAAAGAATGAGAGTAGGGCCAGGGATGTTAAAAGCCAAGATCTGCCATCCTCAACAGTGACTGGTGATATTCCTGCTTTCAAGATTAAAGAAACCCCTTCAGTGGAAGAACCACAGAAAAAACTGTTTACAGACCCATTAGGTAAGAGCTACCTGAGTTTTGATTTATATCTGTTTTCCTAGGGGGAAAAAAATTTTCTTGGTTTCGTGACTCATTCTGTGTGTGCTCCCTAAGTATATGCCCAACTCTGTCAGTATTTCTCAGTTCTAAACTGGAAAAAAATAAAACAAAACACACACACACACAAAATCCAAACAAAACCAAAGCCACAAACAAAAACAAACAAACAAACAAAAGAAAACCAAAAAAGAATCCCAACAACTAAGAAGGGAGAGATACATCTGCAAGCTCCTTGTTATGGCTGGCTCTCCACTGTCACTAGCCATTTTTCTTAAGTCTGTTGATTGAGGTGCACTTTCAGAATCAGAGTTTTGAACTCATGAGACACGTGAGAGATGCAGTGAATCCCTGGAGTCAGTGTTAGAGTTCCCCCACTGACCCCTTGATAGTGAGAGATTCACATTTTCTATTTACCCTCCTTAGACCTAATGTGACTTTTAAAAAGGTGGGCAAAATAATTTCTCAAATGTGCATGTATTTTTCCTAAGACACAGAGCCTCACATCAGTGGAAAACAATGATTTCCTAAAAACATCTTCACTTGGTTTGTCCTAAATGTGTTCCCATTTCTTTGGTCAACCAATCTTTCTAGCATTTTGGCTCAGTGCTCTTACTTCTGTCAATGGTATCTTGCTTGAGCAGGATTTAGTCCTTTTTTATTAATCTGGTTCTTGACTTTTCTTCTCTTAGTTTCCACGGAAAGATTTCTCCCATATTGACTCCTCATCCCAAATGCATTGGCTGCCTCTTCGTGTAGGATTAGTCAAAATCTGTTGTCCCACCAGCAGTAATCACCAGAGCAGAAATATTGACTTCTGATGGTTCTCAATTGCTCTCTCACAACTTGCTAAGCAGATGCTACTCCATGTCAGGCTGCTGTTATAAAAAGGGTTCCTGATGCCTCTTTGAAAGCTACATTCAAAATAAGGTTGAACTGTGATGGCATTCACATTCCTGAAAAGGAATTTAGCTATTAACACTGATATATCCCCAAATCCATTTCACTTATTGTGATCTGTAGGGCTTGGATTGCTGCACTACCAAGGAATATGCTGTGAATGAAATTTTTGCAAAACTAGGCAAAGATAAGTTAATTCAGTTTGACAGATTAATCAATAAAGCTCACTGCACTTATGCAGTCTGTTGTTTTAAATACATAGAGAGGGTTCATAAACATTCACTAAGTTCTGTGTACTAACATAGACATCTTTATAGAAGAAACCCAGAATATTGTTACCAGAGGACTAGAGACTGGTATAGACCATGGAGGAACCCCTTCACTGACTAGAGCCAAAGAAGAACAAGAGAAAGCAACACATTTTCTCAGGTAAATCTGTGTACCCTGGAAACTGATTTTCATGTGCAGTAAGGCAAATATTTAATTTCAGGTCCTTAAAATGAGGCTGCTAAATTTATATTTCTTAGCTAGCCTCTTTCCAACTGTGTCTGTGTTGTTTTGGAACAGGAACACTTGCTTAGTTATCTAGGTAAAAAGTGAAGCGCCTGACTGAAGGGGAACAGCTCTGAAAACACTGGTGCAGTTTGGTCTTAAAGCAGAGTAAAGCCAAATGCTTTTGTTAAGTTGCTGAACATCAGTAAGAACTCAGGATAATTTATTTTCTGGGATCAGGCCTCTGATGGAGTAAAGGATGTTTACATCAGAGCAGTCCTTATTTCCTATGTTAAAAAAAAGTGTATAGCATATGTCAGTGCCTACAGCATTGTTATATCAGAAATTCCTGTCTTCAGACTAGACTGAAGATGTGTTGGGTGCCACCTTTTTTGAGGAACCTGAAAGTTCAGGAGAGTTGGTTTTGTAATTTGTAATTATTAAATGCTGAAAATTGCTTTGGCTTGGGTTTGTTTTACATCTTCATAGAAGTGCAATAATTCCTAACCACAAAATCCCTGCAGGAAATGTTTTGTGAATATGAGTTTTCACAACTAAAACAAATTATAAAATATATTTATATATATATTTCATATATATAATTATAACTAATTACAACATTTCTAATGAAAATTTAGCATGCTTACGATCAAATAAAATAGATATATTTTTAACGTGATGAAATCTATTTAAAATTACAAGGTACTGTCTACAGTAAACACAGGAGAGATTATTTTTATTTTTACATTTCAAACCTAGTTCTGAACTAAAATTTGTTTTACATTTTTAATATTCAACACAAACTAATAAATTATTTTTCATATCTTTTTGTTCACTGATTTCAAAGACCCTGGGAACAGTGCGAAAGGATATTTCTGAATTACATTTATCAGTTTGTATGATATCTTCCTATGGCTGTCTGCTAGAAAAATACTTTCTATGTCTTAAAAATAAATTATTTCATTAAAGATCCTTCTTGTCTCTCATCTGAAAGATGACTACCAGCTGACACTGACATGTATTCCAGCTGTGACTATTTGGGGGATCTGGCAGTTCATAAAAATGTAGTGAAATTAGGTGCTGCTTTTACTTCTACTGGTGTAAATTTCGCCTGTGGAGGGACGTATTGGTGCAGAATTACTGCAGTGCACTCTCTGCCAGCACTGCATTCTCTGTCTGCTGAGAGTGCTGCCTTGTGGATGACATGGCTTTGATTTATCCATAATGGTGCAGGTTTTCAAAACAGCTTTCTGTGGATTTATTCATGTCATTAGCTATAGTAGCCCCTAGCATTTTCACACGGATGTTTATCCAAAAATACCTGCCAAGTACAATGTGTGCATCTTTTCACTCACTTTTGTAATTTATCAGATACAACTATTTGCAAAAGGCAGCTTCTTCTCCTTGACTGCATTGTCCTTGTGCTGATTTATGTAATCTGGGAATCTACTTTGTGTTTTTAAACCAATAAGCCTACCAGGAACACAAGATGGCCACTACATTGACAGCATTTCACTTGTGCCCTGTTGACAACTTGTGCTCGCTGGAAGCAATGAAAATTATTTTGAAAGCATCACAATGTGCCTAGACCTTCCCAGTCTACCCATTCTTTCATTTCCAAGCACTTTGTTTTTATACCTTTATAGGCACAAATACTATAGGCAAGAGGGTGGAAATAGTTGGAATGTAGTGTCTTGTATGTATTTCTTGCCTAACAGAGCCTGGAGAGTGCTCAAGGCAGCAGCCTGTGGCTCCACTCTTGCAGCACTGAAATACTTACTCTTGACACCAGAGGATTCAATGATAGTAATTTCTTTGTTCCTTTGCCATTTTAATACATAATGTCCTTGTAGTATTGAATCTGCACTCTTTCTGGACCAACAGCAGTAGCCAGCAGGTTTGGGTTGGGTTTTTTTTTCCATCTGCAGTTTTTGCAAGAAGACCTTTGATTCTTGTTTGTTTCTGCCTCACAGCCAGCCTGCTGTGATGTGCCTCCTGCAGGGGTATTCCTGGGACTCATGCAAGAATTTGAGATAGCACCAAGCAATTTTAGCCTTTTTTTCCCTACATCTTATTTCTGTGATTTGGACTGTTTACAAGTTATACCTAGGGCATACACATTGTCTGAGGCTCCAAGTAAGTATTTTGTGTGCTCCTGGCATCCTTGGTTGTTACATTTCCTCAGGCCAGGGTCTGTTTTCTAGCCTTGAGGTAAAGAGGTGCAGCATAACACCTTCCTGTGACCAACCAACCTGTCGAACTCTGCAGACCAGGATGATTGCATCTGAGTTTTCTTCTGGACATGATCCCTGGCCTGTGCTAAACTCCTTGCCCAACATAGCCTAGTCCTGCACTGGATGGCTGATGCCAGGACCAGGGCTAGCAATATGGCACTCTGGGCAATTGCACACTCCAGCTGTTGTTAGTTTATTTGTACAGTTGTGATGAGGCTGGTATCAGCTGAGCTGCTGGAAGGAATGTGGATTTTTATCTTACAGGGTGGAAGAAACTTTAGGCAGTACCGTTCAGTCTTCAGTGGAACATGTTATATATAGCTATTGCATCTTGCTTTTGTTCTAATATATAAGATATTTCAGGACAACTGGTCTGGACATGGAGCAGTGGTAGACTCCACATAATCATGCAGGGACTGTGTTTTCTAACTTAATTGTATTAATGTGAGGAGAATTATTACTTCATTGACTATTGATGAGACTTTTTTCAGCATGCCTTTTACCAGAATGTTAGACCGGCTTACTTAGGACAGGGCACAAAACAAAAAAATCAGGTATGATTTATAAAGAGCAGCAGGATATGGGGAGTTCATTGATCTCTTAATATCTTAGAGAACTTTCCTATTTTGCTCTTTGCCAGCAGCGTCTCCACATAGGGCACCCACCCTCTCCACCCCTTTTCTCCCCTCTGTTTCCACAGCCTAAGATGTTTTTCAGAACCAAGCAGTGGCCCTGGCTCTGCACACCAGTCTCCAGCAGAAACCATAAACATTGAGTGCTATCAGTCCTAGAGGCAGACACTGACTGAAAAACATGCCATTAATTTCAGCAACTGCAGCTACTTAGAAGAGGCTTAACTGAAAAGTAAAATCACAAAAAAGAAAATTAATTCTATCCTGGCTCAAACCAGGACACTGCTGAAGTGCTAAACTTCATTACTGAGAGGAAAACATGAGGTCATGGCTGCCTCCTGTTGCTCCTGTTGCTTTTTGAGTAATAGTGATGGCCAGATGGTGGCTGCAGGTCATGAAGTGAGCTGACACAGGCAGCTAACAAATAATTTAGTGTCATATTAAAAATTAACTAAGCAGCCGGATCATAGTCATACAAA